ACAAATTCATTTTTTGGCAAATTAAATTATGTGTATCTGATACTAATAACAATCACACAGTAATGTATCGATCAAAAATCAAACATTTTACGGACAATCTTTACTTCTCTAATGTATCATATGGGATAACAGTACTTAGCAATTAACTAAATATTTTAGTAAATAAAAATAACACTACACACACATTTAAGATGATAAATATCAAGTTATAAACATATTTTTTAATAATAAACTACTTATAGCATATTACTATCAAGTTATAGCATATCAAGAAAAAACATATTATTCTCATTAATTTTTTTAAATAATAATAAACTTATTTAAATAATTACATTTATTATTCGGTTACCTTTTTTAAACCAATGTAGTTAATTAAATTAATTATTTTAAATTACCTTTTTTAAACAAAACTCTTAACTAGTGTAAATTCAAATAAATATTATATAGTTACCTTTTTAAAAAAATTACAAAATAATAGGGATTTTATCATTCCATAATCAATAACTACCCATCAATATCTAAAATAATTACAGTTTTATTTTAAAATGTCACACTGCCCCAAAATTTTGTTCTTCCCCAAATCCTCACAAAATCATCTCTTTTGCACGCCTAACAATTAATTTTTTACCAAATCATCTCTTTTGCACGCTCAAAAAACTTTCAATCTTAACAGTCGTCTTCTCCAATTCTACTATTTTGCACTCAAATCTTCCTTTTCTGCACTCAAATATTCATCTCTTGCACTTAAAAAATTGTACAATGTCGAAGAGAGGCAATGAAACCCCGCGAAAATTCAAAAGGTTGAATGATGAACAAAGCTCAGATGAATTTCATGCTCCATCTTTCAAAATTTTATCACAAACTCAGCCTTCATATGCAAAAGACAAAGCTAGATCAGGGAAATCAAAAATGAAAAAAAAAACAAACATCCAAAGGAATCCGAGAAGAAGAGAAAAGGGAAAGAAAAACAAAAAGTAGATGAATCGGAGAAAAGGGCGAAAGAAAGAGGAAAGAAAAGGAAAGGAAAACAAATTGAGTACTCATCAGATTCTGAATCTGATTTTGTAGAAGAATTGATAAAATCAAAATCAAAAAAACCAAGAACCTCTGAAATCGATACTTCACATTTACAAG